AGGAGGAGGAGGCAGGCTGAGGCTGAGGCTGTGACTGCGACTGCCGTTGCCGCTGCGACTGTCATCGCGAATGCGACTACGACTGCGAGAACAGCAGAATTCGACAACTGGATTTTCATCTGAATCTTAAGGGGAATGCTTTCAGATATGCTTCTACACATCGCTGTTAGGTTGCTTTGCCGGGATAATTTGATTTGTTTTTGCAAACGTGCTGGGCAGGCTTGTAGCGGACATGCGCCTACTAGAAACATCGCGCGCGCTTCGCGCGCGCTCAAGCTCTACCTGGGCTGGATGGTCGAACTCTTAGGGTTTCCTGATGGGCTTCTGGGAGCCCAGGACTGGAAATGTTCGTTCGGCCCCCGCATGGACCGCTGGGCACTTGGGGGCCTCTTTCCGGCCTCCTGGATGCTGCTTGAGGCCGCTTGCGGGCCTCTTGGGGGCCTCTTGGGCTCTCTTGGGGGCCTCTTGGGGCCTCCTCGGAGCATCCTGGACCGCTTCTTAAAGTTGTCATGGGACCTTCTTGGCATGTCTTCGGGGGCCTCTTGAAAGAGTTTTGAAGCCTTTTGGGTGCCGTCTTGGGGCCTCTTGGAGCCTCTTTTGGGCTTCTTGGGGCCTCTTGGGGCCTCTGGGGGGCCTCTCCGGGCTTCCCGGGGGCCTCTTGGGGCCTCTTGGGGGCATCTTGAGGCGGAGAGCTTAATTTTTCAGTTCGCGTTCCCTCTCTTGTGCCCCTCTTGGGGCCTTCTTGGGACCCTCTTGCGCCGTCTTTGACGGCTCTATGGCCGTCTCGGGGCTCTCTTGGGCCGTCTTGGGGCCCTCTTGGGGGCTTCTTGAGGCCTCTTGGGGGCCTCTCGGGACCTCTTGGGGGCTTCCCGGGGGCCTCTTGGGGGCCTCTTGAGGGAATCTTGTGGCGGAGAGCCAGCTTGATTTTTCAGTTCGCGTTCCCTCTCTTGTGCCCCTCTTGGGGCCTTCTTGGGACCCTCTTGCGCCGTCTTTGGCGGCTCTATGGCCGTCTCGGGGCTCTCTTGGGCCGTCTTGGGGCCCTCTTGGTGGCCTCTTGGGGCGTCAGCGGTTTTGGGAGCCTCTTGGGCGGTGCTTTAGCGCTGGAAACACGAAACAGCGAGAATGCAAAAACATGGAACAAATGCAAATCAGCGATTTTGCCTTCTCCGGGCGCTGTGGGGCGGCATCTTAAAGGCCTTTTGGGGCGTCTTGAGGGCCTCCGGGGCAGTTTAAAACGCGTCGTGCGGCCTCTTGGGGGCCTCGTGGGGCCTCTTGGGGGCTTCCTGGGGCCTTCTCGGGGCCTCTTGAGGGCATCTTGGGACGGAGAGCTTGATTTTTCAGTTCGCGTTCCCTCTCTTGGGCCCCTTTTGGGTCCTCCCTGGGACCCTCTTGCGCTGTCTTGGGCGGCTCTGGGGCCGTCTCGGGGCTCTCTTGGGCTGTCTTGGGGCCCTCTTGGGGGGCCTCTTGGGCCGTCTTGGAGCGGTTTTGGGAGTTTCTTGGGCGGTGCTTTAGCGTCGGAAACACGAACCAGCGAGAATGCAAAACACATTGAACAAATAACAAGAAAATCAACGAGTTTGCCCTCTCGGGGCGCTCTCGGGCGGCATCCTAAAGGCCTCTTGGGGTATCTTGGGGGCCTCCGGGGCAGATTAAAACGCGTCGTGCGGCCTCCTGGGGGCCTCGTGGGGCCTCTTGGGGGCTTCCTGGGGGCCTCTTGGGGCCTCTTGAGGGCATCTTGGGGCGGAGAGCTTGATTTTTCAATTCGTGTTCCCTCTCTTGGGCCCTGGGGCCTTCTTGGGACCCTCTTGCGCCGTCTTGGGCGGCTCTGGGGCCGTCTTGGGGCTCTCTTGGGCCGTCTTGGGGCCTTCTTGGGGGCCTCTTGGGCCGTCTTGGAGCGGTTTGGGGAGCCTCTTGGGCGGTGCTTTAGCGCCGGAAACACAAAACAGCGAGAATGCAAGAACTAGAGGAACAAAAACAAAGAGAATCAACGACTTTGCCCTGTCGGGGCGCTCTTGGGTGGCATCTTGAAGGCCTCTCGGGGCGTCTTGGGGGCCTCCGGGGCAGTTTAAAACGTATCGTGCGCCGCCAGGGACCCCTGGACGGCGTCTGGGGGGTGTTTCGAGACCGTCTGGGGCCGCCGGGAGTGCTGTCTGAGGGCTCCCCGAAGCGATTTGAGGCCTCCCACAGGCGGGCCGGCGCGCCGAGCCCCGCAATTGCGGTCGGGGCCCCGGCCCCCGGCCCCCGGGCCCGGTCCCCCGTTGCATGTATTTGGTGGTCCTCGCGCCATCCAGCTAGTGCTAGTGCCGCTAGTGCTAGCTAGTGCTCCTGTAGCTAGTGCTGCTAGTGGTGGTGGCGAAGGAAAGGGTCCTGCTAGAGATGAGACGTTCAGCCAGGAGGAAAAGGGCATGCACCATGGACCTGACGGAGGTCAAGCACTCGGGCATACAGAGGGAACTCCCTTTATGCTCCTTGGTACTCCTGCGTCCTCCAGCCTCTCTCTTTGTTTGCCCCTTGGCAGCACACCTCCGGCAGCAACGCCGCCGCCCTCCTCGGCATTTTCCGGGCCCCCTTCTTAATTTCGCCATCGAGTGTCGTTGCGCAGTTTCTCCTGTGCCTGTCCCCTCTCGGTCCGAGCCAGCAGTCCCCGCGGAGGCGTCGCAGACGCCACTCGCCGTTCCCGTTGCCGCAGGTTTTTTCGTTTGCACTCCAGCGCGAGTCGCCCTGGATGCGGCGGCCGCGGCACCGCGAGCTGACCGTTTCTTCTCTGCTTCTGGGTCGGTCTACGTGGGATCTGCCACCGCCTTCTTCAGACGCTGGCAGTCGAAGAGTTGTTATTTTTGGCACCAGTCGAAGTGGTTGAATCATGTCGGGCTGCTACTGTGGTAACCTTAGGGCCAAATAGGGGAATGAGAGATTTGGCACCAGCTACCGCGGGACCGCTTGCCTGTCAGGGTCGGTGGTGTCCCAGCGACGACACCAGGTGGCCCGCCCCGGCACCTTCCCCTCTTATTCTTCCTCTTTCTCCTTCTCATCCTCCTCCTCCTCCTCCTCCTCCTCCTCCTCCTCCTTGGGTTAAAGACGCTCCGCCTCCTCCTCCTCCTCCTCCTCCTCCTTGGGTTGTCCTCTTCATGTGCGCACGCGTTCTCTTGTCATTATTGCATGGTGGCCCATCTGGTGCCCACCAGGCCAACAACTGCCGATGAAGGTGGGTGGTCAGAGCTACGCGGGATTTGCGTTGACGGCAGGGGTGCGCCAAGGATGCCCTCTTTCTCCTCTCCTTTTTTCCCCTCCTGTTCCGGCGCTTCACCGTGCGGTCCCAGATGCTGCTCCCCCCGCGCGTACGCCGACGACCTCGCCATCCGTCACGCCCGGGGTGTTCAGGACGCCGCCATCCTCGAGCCACTCTTCCACGAGTACGCGGCAATATCTGGTCTCCTCCAACACCACGACAAATCGGTGTGGGTCGCATTGTGCTTGCAGCCGCTAGAAGCCGTGCGAGACAGTCTACACTCCGTGGCCCCATCCTGGGCGGATTTCGACATCCGGAGGTACACCACCTACCTGGGTGTCGTGGTCGGCCTGGGGCGCGGTGATCGCACTGGTAGCAAAGCAATCGATCAGGCCATCCAGCGGTCTCGGGTGTGGAGGAGTGTGGGAGGTGGCTTCCTGCTCACCTTATGGCGTATTGCTTCTACATTTTCCCCTTGTTCTCTTTTCTCATCCAACTGGACAGGGTGCCCTGTCCCTTCTGGGCGGTGCCGTCAGTCACCACGCCGATGAGGCGTGCTCCGCACAGCTGTCTCTCGTCCTTCTTCGTGCCTGATACGTAGATTCTCACATTCTCTGCGTAGTCGTCGATCGACTCCAGCCTCCCGCTCCATCGCGGTATGATGCCGCGGTCGTCTTGTTGGGTCATTCAAGGCCGTACTCGAATCACGTTCTTTGGAACAAGCTCCGCTGTACCAGTATAGTAACTATAGTAGTATAGGGGATACTGTCCGGTTTATCGTCGTAGGCACTCCTTATCAGTGCTGTTGCCCTTCTGCAAGCGTCCAGTGTGACGAACAACATCAAGACATGAATCAACATGGGCTGGGCGCCTCCCGCGCCCAGGAAATGAAGGGGGGCGCCTCCCGCGCCTAGTCATGCACAGGAGAGGGCCGACAAACCGTCGGCTCAAGAGCCGGCTCTTGAAAAACAGAGCCAGAACGCCAGCAGGACCCCCACTGATGCACATGCCCGTGCGCTCACTGCTGTCCTCTCTCTCTCTCTCTCTCCGCTGGTGCTGAGATGCCCTACTGGTCTCCATGCAACAACACCTCCCTCCATTCTCCCTCCATTCTCCCGCCCCCTTCCTCCTCCCCGTGCGGCCAGGTTGTGCGAGAGCTGGATTCGCGTGTGGGCAGCGCTCGGCCCTCGTGAGGCTGGGTCTGCCAGTCGTCCGCGCGTGTATCCAGAGCGTGGCCTCCGCGTGCTACGCCAGGCTTATGGGCCTTCGGTGCAACAGGTGCGACGGCGGTGGCTGGGTTGTCGGGGTGCTTCGGATGTGCTATGTGCGGCCTGATGCTTGTTCTGCGTTGGTGCTTCATTGTTCGGAGGGCCCCGAGACAGCTCGAGGGGGGTCCCAACATGCACCAGAAAAGGGCCCCGGGCCCTTTGCATTGAGGACGCCGCGGCCGAGGGGGACTAGCGGCGATCTAAATGTTCCATTTCGCCCTGGAGGCTGCATCAGTGGCTTCCCTAGGGCTCCATTTCAACCCTCCTTTCTCTTCGCGTGTCTGACATTTCTGGCGAGACATTTGCAATGCCATATGTTCTTCCCTCCCGAAGCTTCCGCCGGACCGGGAACTTCGGGGAACGCGGGGTCTCGGGTGTGGGCGAGGGCTGCGGGGCCGTAGAACGCCCGCCGATCCGACACGTTTGCCCGCCTTCTGCTCCCTTCCGCTCCCCTGGGTCGAGGGCGGGCTCTGGCCGTCGCTGCCGCGGCGCCGCCTGCCCCGAGCCATTTGGGCCCAAGGCTGCGCGCTCGCCGCGGTCGGGCGCGGCCGGTGCGGAGGGCGCATCGGCAGCAGGGCCGCCGCACGTACGGCGGCCTGGCAGGGCGCGCTCGCGGCCTCATGGCGAGCACGTCGGGCGCGGCGCTGCTCCGGCACTTTTCCGAGGCCGCCTCGGGCGCGCAGCCTTCTGGCCATATCCAATCGGAGGGCGGGAAAGCATAGGAGCGCAAACATAAGTCGGGATGCCGGCTGAAGGTTTCTGCGCCGACGGAGAGACCGTGCGCTGAGGTCCAAAGTTTGTGCTCATGTGGTGACTCGCCCTCTTCAAGAAGCTCTGAGTGCGGTGACGATGACGCTTCCCGTGTCCTATGGCTGTTGGTTGCTGTGCAGCGCCAATGTCGCGTCAGCTGGGGCGCCCTGGATGATCGTGGCCTCGCAAGTGTGCCATCTGCCTTTCAGCATGGCCTACCACATCTGCTGTGCCCGCATTGCCTCTGGAGTGCCTGTGGACGACACGCCGTATCGCTGTCTGGATCAGTCCGGGACCCACGTCATGGCTACGATTACTTTTCTTTGCCTCTCGCAGTCTGGAGTCTTCACTTTGGTCCTGGCCCTGCCTTGGAACGCGTACTGCATCTGCATGCTGTGGCTCCGCGCGAAGACAGAGGTCCGGTACTCGCGGTTCGTGCGCATGTTCGTGTCAGCTCTTTTAGCACTGTCGCCCATGGCATTCAATGAGCAGTGGCGCAACTGGCTTGGGAGCATGTTCTGCTTCGCAGCGGGGTCCGCCCTGTTCGGGCTCGATGCGCTCCTCGGTGGTTGGGGGCATCCGCTGATGCACGTTATGGGGGTCCCGTACATTCATTACATCCTTACCGCAGCAATCTAGCGGGAAGGCCACGTGCCTCGGCCCGCGCGGGCTAGCATGGCGTGGCAAGATTCTGGCAGCGCGCAGGCTTTTCGCCCAGGCCGCTGCCATGTCCTCCTCTCCCTTTGCCTTTCCTCCGCCTCGGTGGTTCTATCTTTCTACATGTAGTCGAAGACGCATACGGCGAATCTCCGCTGCCCCCCTGCCTTCTAGGATACGCTTACGAGGCCAAACGTTTGGGCAAATTTGTCCACGCTAGTGGACCATGCGTTCCCCCAGCCGTTGTGGAAGCCCTTCGGGGAACACGTCGGGGAGGAAGAGGAGGATGAGGAGAGGGAGGACGCAAGAGAAACAATCGGGAGAAGTAGGAGGAGGAGGAGGAGGCGGACGCCTTTTGGGAGCCTCTGGGGCCGCTCTTGGGGCCTCATGGGAGCTTCCTGGGAGCTTTTTGGAGGTCTCTTAGGGGCCTCCTGGGGCCTCTTGGGGGCCTTTCGGGGCTTTTTTTTGGGGGGGGGGCTCTTTGGCTGTCTTACGGCGCTCCTGGCCCGTCTGACGCCGTCGGAAGCCGTCTGGGATGCCTCTCTGAACCGACTTGGGGCCCTCTTGGGGCGCTTCAGGGCCGTCTTGGAGGCCATCTTGGGCGTCTTGGGGGTCTCTTGGGCCGTCTTGGGGCTCTCTTGGGGCCCTTCTTGGATCGTCATGGGGTCATCTTGGAGGCCTTTGGGGCCAGCTTGGGGGATCTTGGGGGGATCTGGGGCCGTCTCGGGCCGACGAAAGGCTGAACAGAAGCAAATGTCACAATCCTTCACAAACCAACGGGAAATCAATGAGTTTGGCCTCTTCGGGCCTCCTGGGGGACCTTTGGAGACCTCTTGGGCCATCCTCGGGGCCTCTTGGGCGCTTCTGGGGCCGTCCTGGGCTATCTTGGACCATCTTGGCGATCTTGGAATCACCCTGGGACCGTCTTGGAGGCCATCTTGGGCCTATCTTGGGCTCTCTTGGGGCCATCTTGGTTGTCTTGGAGGCCATCTAGAGGCCATCTTGAGCGAAAAGCCGACGAGACACGCATCCCGGCGCGCTGGAGCGAAGCCCCAGGGAGAGTTTAAGCAAGAACCCAAATCCATCAGACGTTTAGCACGCCGGGCACCCCCGTGGGAAGACCGCAAGGGGCGATGGATCTACTGGTCTCATGGCCGTCAGCCCATCCCGCCACCGTGCCTGGGTTGTGGGTCAGAGTTCTCAGGGATGCTTCTTCGGGTCTCTTCGGAGCGCTCTCTCGGGGGCCTCTTGGGAGCCGTTTGGGGCTCGAAATGCCTGTTCGGGTTCCCCTCTGGGCCTCCTCTTAGCCCGTCTTTGGGCCCTCTTAGCCCGTCTTAGGGCTCTCTCGGGGGCCTCTGGGACCGTCTTGGGGCGATCTTGGGGGCCTCGTGGGCCGTCTTGGAGCGTCGGGAAGCTGAAAAGGCGAGAACGCCACATTCTTTCAAAACCCAGTGATTTTGGCCTCTTGGGGCCCTCTTGGAAGGCCTCTTGGGGCGTCTTGGAGGCCTCTAGGGCCGTCTGGGGGCTATCTTGAGCGTCTTGGAGCGATCGTTCGGCGACTCGTGGTCCTCACGGATTGTCTTGAAGGTCTCTTGGAACCCTCTTGGCCCGTCTTGGGGACCTCCGAAAAAATCAAGCGGTGAGCCGCGCCAAGCCCCCGGCAAGCCGCGGTAAGGCCCGAGGTATTTGAGAATTTGAGGTCGGGCAAAGGACCTGAGGACACGCCCGCTACGTGCTCTGCGGCACGGTGGCGGACTCATCGCTCTGTATACATAGTTATCGCCCAATCTACCTGTTAAGCGACCTACTTGTTTCGTACAGCGATATTGACATGTACATAAACCTAGACATCCATACACTACAATACTGAAATATGTTTAGATTTCTGGCCACACACATGTATACACATACACACATATATATGTATATAAGTATATACACATATACATAGGTATATACATGTATAGAAAGTTATAGTTACTTTGTCGCTGTATCGATGCACGTCTAGGTTCATATGCCTGGTGGGTTCCCTACATCTACCTCAATTCATGTTTTGCCATTCGTCGGTGTTGTATATATATATATATATGTTTGATATCGGTGCACATCTGTTTACGGTGTCGTGATTCAATGTTTGAGCAGTCTTCCAAATAGCTCGCGCGGACCCGCGGCCCGCGCGCCCTCGCGCCAGACTACACATATGGCAAGTATTCCCCAAGATCTGAGGTCGATCAGCCTCGTAAAACACGGGCGGAATAAGTTTCAGTGGACGCGGAGTCGGTTTTCTTCTGCTGAAAGACGAAGCGAAGTATGTTCAACACCTGGAACGCGGATTAAGTTGACCCACGTACAAAAACGTGCGGAGTAAAACCTTACACCATAATCTATTTAGTTACTAAGGACATTTTATTCCGAAATGTACTCCACCGCACATACATATTTATGTAATTATATATATATATGTATATATATATATATATATATATATGTATGTATATATGTGTATATATATGTATATATATATATATGTATGCACAGATGCTTGCATCCGCCGACATTCAGAATCCCCAAATACTGCTTGCACTTAGGGCTTCTTACTTGTGCCACTAGGTTTTTGGGTGGGTCCGTCGAGGTTTCGCCGCGACCCCGATCGTTGCGCCTCGTTGCCGCCTTTGCCGCCCACGTGGGGGGTCCGTTGAAAGTTTTCCGCGTCGCCACTCGTTGCCGACTCGTTGCCGCCTCGTTGCCGCCCAGTTGGATGGGTCCGTCGAGGTTTCGCCGCGACCCTGCCCGTGCCGCCTTGTTCCTGTCTCGTACGGACCCCGTTGGAGGGTCCGTCGAGGTTTTGCAGCGACCCCGACCGTTGCCGTCTCGTTGCTGTCTCGGTGCCGCGCACTTGGATGTGTCCGTCGGGGTTTCGCCGCGTCGCCGCCCGTTGCCGCCTCGTTGCCGCCCATTTGGATGGGTCCTGTCGAGGTTTCGCCGCGTCGCCGCCCATTGCCGCCTCCCTGTCGCCTAGTTGCCGCCCTCCTGGGGGGTCCGTCGAGGTTTCGCCGCGTCGCCGCCCGTTGCCGCCCACGTGGGGGGTCCGTCGAGGTTTCGCCGCGTCACCCCCCGTTGCCGCCTCGGTGCCGCCCACTTGGGAGCCGCCGATGTTTCGCCACGTCCCCACCTCGTTGCCGCCCAACCCGTCGGGGAGTCCGTCGAGGTTGCACTACATATCTGGCACCGCATATCTTGTCGCACATAGCTCGCACCACATAGCTTGCACCACCCATATGGCGTCACATAGCTTTCACATCCACAGTGCAATGCATTACCCTTTAACATGTGTGTGTGTATATATAGATGTAGATATATTCCTGTATATGTATAGGTCCATGGGCCTCACAGGCTATCTATACAGCCCACGGTCGATGCATTGTACACAGATGCAACAGTCTAACTGTTTGCCTACCGGTCTCACAGTCAAGATGCCGATTGATATCATGATATATGTATTGAGCTAACCATTATCTATCAGATTCACAGTTATGTATACAGTCAACCATTATCTATTGTTTATTGCACTGACAACGTATAAGGCACAGAGGAACACATACATATACATTTATGGACGCCCCTCCTAAATGATCATACAGATTTCTCTCCATCGCGGCCGCCGGTCGATACCTTCACTCTCCTTTTCCCTCTCCAGCTCCTCCTCCCCTTCCTCCTCCTCCTCCTCCTTCTTTTTCTCCTCTTCGGAATCAGCGAAATCGCGAAAAACACCAAAAACCTTGAAACATCTTCAAACAAACATCAAATGTCAAACACACCAACAGACAACCAAGACACCTATGATTTCTGGAGAACCTTGGCCGCCAACCTCTCCCCAGAAGTTTATCAGAAATCATGTTTTGTTGTTTTGCAGGTTTTTGGTGGCTTTCACGATTTTGCCTCCTCCTCCTCCTCTTCTCCTCCTCCTCCTCCTCCTCTCCTCCTCCTCCTGCTGCTCCTCCTGCCCCTCCTCCTCTTCCTCCTGCTCCTCCTCCTCCTCCTCCTCCTCCTCCGTCTCCTGCTCCTCCTCATCCCCATCTTCCTCCCTCCTCCTTCTCCTCCCTCCTCCTCCTCCTCTCCTCCTCCGTCTCTCCTCCTCCTCCTCCTCCTCCTCCCCTCCTCTCTCCTCCTCCTCCTCCTCCTCCTCCTCCTCTTCGTCCTCCTCCTTCTTCTCCTCGTCCTCCTTCTCCTGACTCCTCTTCTTCTACCCCGTTTTGTTCTACCTCCTCCTCCTCACCCTCCCTCTCCGTTTCCTTCCCCTTGCCATCCCTCAGCATGGGAATGGGCACCGCAACGTCATCGATCGCAAACCAGCCTGTCGCACCCGTTGCGTTGTCATGTTTCCAGGGAGCGCTCTGAATCGTGGCGCAAACGTCGCAGCTCTAAAACGGATAATGGTTCATACGTGAACGCGCGCGTCGCACCGACTGCCATCGTCTGCGATCGCGTCGCGTCCAATGCGCGCCAGCACGGCGCGTCCGCCTGTTCACTCGGCATCGCCGCGGGGCGCCCTCGCCGACCCCGGAAGCCGACCACCTTCTTCATCAAGCATGCGTTCGGGCTCTGCGTCAAGGTCGGGGCCGTCGTCGCCCGCGACGGCGGTTACTTCTCCGTGGGCCGAGCGGGCGAGGGAGGCGAATATCGCCTTCTCCTCCTCGGCGTCCACGGGTGACAGCGGACCTCCGCATCCCACGAGCCCCCATTGCCCTCTTCGCGGGCGGCGGCGAGGACATGTCCTCGAAAGCGCCGTGGTGCGGTTCGGCGAGACTCTTGAAAATGACGAGAAGCTCCTTCTGGTCCTCTTTCGTCAGCTCGCCGCAGCGGTCCACGATGTCAGGCTGCGCGGCACTTGCGACAGGCGCGATATCCGCATGCGGCTTGTCCATCCCGCCGCCAAAGCCGAGCGCGTCCTCGTCCTGGGGCGGCTCGGCTGGTGCATCTGCCACGCCAGCGGGGCGAGACGCCGAAGTGGCCGCGTGGGCGGGCAGAGCGCTTGCCGCGCCTGACTCGAACCCCGAAATGTTACCGACAGAAGGGACCGTGCGTCCAGGGTCATCGCCAAACGAGGGGGCGATGTGCACATGCGTTGCGTCGCTGTGGCTTTG